TCAAGATGATAACAGGGAACTTTGAGGGAAGAAGGACATTCTGAACAGATTTGAGTAGATAATATTCCCCAAAATGGACAAAAGTGATTCAATGCAATTAAAAAATTTTCCACAGAGCAAAGGAAACAATAAATGGAGGAAAATAAAAATCTTTCCTACCTGTGTATCAGACAGGAGACTAATCTTTAGATTGTACAAGAATCTCCATGTGTAGAAGGTAAAAACAATATACTGAAAGGACATTTTTCTTGCATAAAACAATAATCTCTTTCACACATTGCTAACACTGAAAAAGGTTAAGAAAAGGCTCAGACTGTGTGATATTTGGCAAAACAAACTTCTTTATTCCAGGACACACCTGTACTAAGGACAAGGCTGAGTTCTTCCAGAACAGCCAACTCCCTACCTGCCCACACATGACCAGGTATACCTAGCTTTCTCCTCTTTTCCTACTCTCACTTTCCTGATTCAAAGTCTACCACAGTCACACCTGGTCAAGACCACATCAACAAGTCCTTCCAATGTTGTATCTGAAAACTCTAGAAAACTACCCTATCAATGAACAGTGGGCCATAATCAGAACAGAAAAGTGTTTCCTGTCTTCATTTAACTTCATCAATCCTGTCAGAATGTCTCTGGTTTTCATATTACCAGAGAAGAATGCCAAATGCTAATAGACTACACCTTCTGTACAAAAATATTACCACTTTAGAGGAGAAATAGCCACAAGGTGACACTACAGAATTTCACATTATCTGTAGGACATTTTCTTGGTGGATTTTTTTCTGACATATTCTTTATACATGTTCAAAATGAACCATCATGCACATTGATATGCACAGCACATTATCCACACTGGATGATAAATCTTCTAAATTTACAGTCACATGTCCCTATCTGATTTACCTCATCCAAATAATCATCAAATTTCTAAAAATCCCAGAAACACTAGGCAATTATGAAAGCCTGATATGGTGTCAGACATGAAAAGGCAGTTATGCACTTTTACTGTTTTGTGCTTCCCAAACTCAAGTGACTTTAACGTGCAACCAAACGAATAGGGTGATATAAGAAAGAACATTAGTTCCATCCATTTGCCTGCAAACCTCATGACGTCATTGTTTTTCTCTGTTGAGTAGTATTCCATTGTGTATATGTACCACATTTTATTTATCCATTCTTCAGTTGAAGGGCATCTAGGTTGTTTCCAGGTTTTGGCTATTACAAACAATGCTGATATGAACATAGCTGAGCAAGTGCCCTTGTAGTATGACTGAACATTCCTTGGGTATATGCCCAAGAGTGGTATAGCTGGATCTTGGGGGAGATTAATTCCCAATTTTCTAAGAAAGTGCCACATTGATTTCCAAAGTGGTTGTACAAGCTTGCATTCCCACCAGCAGTGGAGGAGAGTTCCCCTAGCTCCACATCCTCTCCAGCATAAGTAGGGGTAATGAAGGGCAAGAATCAAGGGAAAGAGAGCTTGGGGGAGCAGGAGATCCCAGCTGGATCAAGAACACAGAGGGAGATCAAGGAATAGGAGACCATGGTAAATGAAGACCATATGATAATAGAAAGAAGCAAAGTGCTAGAGAGGCCCACAGAAATCCACAAAGATACCCACACAATAGACTGCCGGCAATGGTTGAGAGACAGCCTGAAATGACCTACTATGGTGATGGGATGGCCAAACACCCTAATTGTTGTGCTAGAAACCCCATCCAATGACTAAGGGCTCTGGATGCAGAGATCCACGGCTAGGCCCCAGGTGGAGCTCCGGGAGTCTAATTAGTGAGAAAGAGGAGGGTTTATATGAGCAAAAATTGTTGAAACCAAGGTTGGATAAAGCACAGAGACAAATAGCCAAACAAATGGAAACACATGAACTATGAACTAAAGACTGAGGGGCCCCCAATTGGATCAGGCCCTCTGAATGGGTGAGACAGTTGATTGGCTTGATCTGTTTGGGAGGCATTTAGGCAGTGGTACTGGGCTGTTTGAAACCTGGGGCTTATGCAGGGACGCTTGGCTCAGTCTGGAAGGAGGGGACTGGACCTGCCTGGACTGAGTCTACCAGGTTGATCTCAGTCCTCGGGGGAGGCTTTGCCCTGGAGGAGGTGGGAATGGGGGGTGGACTGAGGGGTAGGGGAGGGGGGCAGGAGAGGGGGAGAACAAGGGAATCTGTGGCTGATATGTAGAACTGAATGGTATTGTAAAATAAAATAAAAGGGAAAAAAAAGAAAGAGCATTAGTATCAAATGTAGAGGCATTTCAACTCAATAGGTGCAAAACATTTTTTGTTTTTCCCGTCAAGTTCTCCTTGTATAATAGCACTACCTGTCTGGAACAACACTTTGTAGACCTGCCCGGTCTGAAAATCTCAGAGATGCATCTGCCTCTACCCCTAAATGCCGGATTCAAGATATGTTACACCACACCTGGTTATCCACGAATCAATTGTTTTAAAAGATGAAACTCTGCTAATGAAGAGTACGGGTAAAGCTGTTGTTGGGGGTCACATCTGTACTCCTTATGTGGAGTACATGGGGGAAGATTAGCAAGTGAAGCAAGGAGACCAAATCACAAATTTGAAGAAGGCCAAATTCAAATCTAATGAACTTAGTAAACATTAGTTTGAGTTATAAGTCAAGGGATTCATCGGAAAAGTAAAAGGCACATAGATAATGCTGAGAGGTATATCAGTGGGTGGTATTAGTCTTAGAATCATCAACAAGTCAGACTAGAAAAAACTGAAGCACTCCATATCAGAACATGGAGAATCAGAATCATTCAGAGAAAGACCGCCCATGGACATATTGAAGGTGATGTCAGACCACTTTGTTCACGTTTTTAGTCAATCAATAGGCCAGGTCACTGCTTAAGAATAATTAATGAAGAAAACAATACCAAAGCATAATCTAATTCAATATTCTAAAAACAACATTTATAAGGTTACAGTGAAGATGTTCACCAAGAACCACAGCACTCATGCATCATGGGACAAGTGGGTGCACATGGATTACCTGGTCCTAGAGTTACATGGCCTCCCTATTGCCACTTTCCTTTCTCTAACAGAAGATGATGTGAAGAATAAAATATTCAGTATTCTAATTCTAATATATCATAGTTTCTCTGAATTGAACCAGTTCGGGGAATTCTAGACAGCCTTTCTGGGGCCAAACAGGCTGTCAGTTTTGTTAGTCTAAGTTACTATGCATTCCTGCTTCGTGTCCTAACTTCATGCTGAACTGAACAAAACAATCAGAAAAAAAAATGTTATATATGTGGTTGCACATTCATAAAATGCCATGAATGGACTTTATCACTTAATAGCAGAGATACTACCCATCTTTAGCCTCAATGTCAGGAAGAGTATGGACAAAGGTATGTATAGAAGAAAATCTCCTAACAATCACATTTCACGGGATCAGAGTCACAGTTCTATAAGACTAGAGCTTAATCGATGAGAGAACTTCATTTCTAATATCTGGACTTTGTATCACTTCAACATTGTTGTCCAAATTTCATATTGTACCATAAAGAACTGAGACATTGATAACCTCCTCTACACTGCATCCTGCTAGGCTAAAGTCCCAAAAAACAGTCAATGATGCAAAGTATCCTGCCCTGTCAGGGAAGGTCACCTGTAAGGACCTGAAAGGTGCCTTTGTTCTGCCTTTCTTATAAAGACTGTGGCCTTGCTTCCTCCAGCACACACTTGGGAGCAACTCCAGAGCCTCTTCCAAGATGCTGGTGGTCCTGCTCACAGCAGCCTTATTGGCCCTGAGCTCTGTTCAGAGCTCAAATGCAGGTATAAAGTAGGGGAGAGGGTAGTAGAGACATGGGACTTAGGCAATACACTAAAGTTCAAGACTGGGAGGAATGGGGGGAAATGACATGCAACCGGGGCAAAGAAATATGGGAACAAATATTAGGACATGTATATTATCATTTTGCTTGTAGATTTCAGGTTTATATATAGCATAATTTAAGAAAATATTCTTACAACAAAATAACATGAGTGCACTTGTGAAAAGATGATTTTGGTGGTGGATGATGCATGGCAATATGTTAGAGCTGACAGAGAGAAAATCAGTACTTAAGGTGTTATGAGAAGGAGATAGTGAATGATGCTGGGGTTGGTGTACAGAGGATAGAGAGAATGAAATAAGTAAATATATATCAGGCATATCTTTGAGAAATAGAAAAAAAAATATAATAAATTTGAAACTCTGTTTACAACAAGCTAGAAATTTCAGGAAAGATTTCTTTTAAAATTAATTCTATGAATGTCGGTGCATGCACTACCGTGTGTGTGTGTGTGTGTGTGTGTGTGTGTGTGTGTGTGTGTGTGTGTGTGTAATGTGGATTTGAGAAAGAGAAAGGTAGGCAGACATACACACACACAAAGAGAGAGAAAGAAGCAGAGATAGAGTGAGACAGAGATAGGGACAGAGAGAGAAAGAGTGAGAGAATTTGAATGCTTATTCACATTCCTGCCTGAGGACAACCCATTAGCAGCAAGCTATCTTTTTATACCATGTGATTCCAGGAACTGATTTCAAGTCAACAGGCAAGCACTTTTTTCCTCACTCAGATATCTGGCTGGACCCATTTCTCTATTGTAATGACCCAGATGCGATATTAATTGTTATACAAGTGGTTTTTAAAGCAATGTTTGTCCTTATTTCCATACATGAAATGCCTAGGAATAGACCCTGTAAGAAGTGAAGGTCATGCAGAAAAACATAAAAACATGAACACATGACCGTGAAATTCCCCTAATGTAAAAGAGACAAACAGTAAGGATTGACACAGCAAGCGAGGAACAAAATAATAGTTGCTGCTGCCATGGAGACCATCCTGGCAGCATTATCAGCAACACTATCCAAGATTAAATTCTGCATAGCGGATGTGAAGTTGTAGTTTAAAGCCATCTTTATTGAGCATCCGAAAAATGTCATGAGTAAATTTTCATTTATTTTGTGCTTCTTTTCTAGCAATCATCTATGGAAACCCTTCTTCACAGTTCTTAGGTAAACCAGATTCTTCCTCTATTGACATTCTATGAATCCTTTATTCTTTAACTCTTCTGTACTATATCTCATTACCATATTGTTATTCTATGAAATTAATATGTGAGAGCTTCCCCTGAGGTATATGGGAAGACTTCCCAACATTGTCTAGGAACTAGAGCAAGGCTGTACAATAGAAGAGTAGGAAGCCAGATTTTTATAACAGGAACATTTTGTCTCTTCCGCAGATTGAAACAATGACTTTCATATGATGAACACTTTGGGGGTCCTAATTTAAAATCGCCAATAGCACTATAGATTGTTTGTAGAATTCTTCTTTCACCAGTGATTCCAAGGAGAATTATATGATTGTTCATTAGATATGCAATCACACAGATCCAATGCTCTTCCACTTTTTAAAATTTATTTTTATCAGTTCTGTATGCACAGTTAACTAATACATACAAAAACACTGAAAGGAAATTCAATGGAACATCTTTCCATCACTATCCTACATTTCTTTCTTGTTCTCCACATGGTTATAGTATTCTAAATACCATAATATATGTAAGACTAGAGCATTGCTCTCACAATTTTGATACTCTGCCAACTTCTAAATAATAACATTAAAAAATTCTTCCCATTTCTTCACTTCTGAGGATTGTAAAGAACACAAAGTCATCTTTTATGCACCAATTTTAAGAACAAATATATGTCAGAAGAGTGGAGACATAAGCAAGTTCATATGATAAATGTGAAAAATAATCTTAAAGGAGAATCAGGGACATAATGTTGTGAGGGTGTTATCAGAGAAAGAGTAGGTATAAAGTCATTCTACATTGATCTATACACAAACAGAGGGAGAACAGCAAAACCAAGGCCATGGTCAACAGCATCAGAGACCTCCTCCTGGAGAATTACCCCCAGGACCTTCTGCCTCTGAAGAAGATGATGGTGATAATGATGATGACAGTGAAGAAGATGGAAATGCACCAGAGGGACCACCACAGCAAGGAGACAATAACCAGAAACCTCACCCTCCTAGACCTGGAAACCAGCAAGGCCCACCCCAACAGGGAGGCCAGCAGCAGAATAAACCTCCTAGACCTGGAAACCAGCAAGGTCCACCCCAACAGGGAGGACAGCAGCAGAATAAACCTCCTAGACCTGGAAACCAGCAAGGTCCACCCCAGCAGGGAGGTCAGCAGCAAAATCGCCCTCCTAGACCTGGAAACCAGCAAGGCCCACCCCAGCAGGGAGGCCAGCAGCAGAATAAACCTCCTAAACCTGGAAATCAGCAAGGCCCACCCCAGCAGGGAGGTCAGCAGCAAAATCGCCCTCCTAGACCTGGAAACCAGCAAGGGCCACCCCAGCAAGGAGGCCAGCAGCAGAATAAACCTCCTAGACCTGGAAACCAGCAAGGCCCACCCCAGCAGGGAGGAGAGCAGCAGAATAAACCTCCTAGACCTGGAAACCAGCA